TTGCCTTATAAACACATTCTTGTTTTCAAAATTAGACAATTGAGAAAAGTGGGTGCTGGCAAGAGGATGAGCCCAGGAAGAAGTTAAGAATGCACTAGGAGGACTTCACACATGCATCTGGCAAACTCTCCTGAGAGCCCAGCAGCCCTGGCTACTGATTTGCATTCTTCTCAGCTGCATACTTGCCTGTGTCTATTAGACTATTAAAATATTAATGGGGTCTTGGTATCTGTCATTATTAATTTTGGAAAGGAATAAGGACATGCCAACCTATGGTATTGATAAATTTGCAGAATATGTTAATCCTAACATTCATTATTCAGCTAAATTACTATTTTTTTAGATGGTTTTTCTCCACTAATCATTTTTTATATTTAACAATTTTTCATCTCCAACAAAGCATTTCCTTAGAAATCTACTTATGAATGTACTTTTATAATGTTTTTACAGCAATAATTTACTCAACAATTGTTACACCCTATCATATAGTGACAAAATTTTCTGATATATATAGACTTAAGCTAAGAAATGAGTAATTATTAAAACTGGAATTAAAATAATATTTTCCTAGTTTTATTTTTTAATTTATGCTATTGATTGGTTCATTGGTTGGTGGGTTTTGTTATGGTAAAGCCACCAAGCTCCAAGGCCCACTCTTCAGGCCATGAGGAGACTGAAGAAAGGTTCCCTCAGCTCCATAACTGAGCTTTTGACACCAGTATCTTCACTCCAGGGTTTGTGGAAATTAGCTGCTTTCTGGTAGCAGAGACTATGCACAGACTAGAGAGAACTAAGCTATCTTTCAAAGAAAAATCAAGACACATAGTCTGAAGGGGGTGGTCTGCATTTAAAATGAGAAAGCCGAAGTCAAAAGTTAAATAACTTCCCAAGAACATGTAGCAAGAACTGACACACATGAAGATCTAATCTTTTCTAATTCCAGAACTTTGAAATGTGGCAAATTTAGATTTGGGGTATGTATTTAACAAAGGCAAATTCAGATATTACCTTTTGTCAGAGTGTAAGACTCAAATATAATTTAAAAGGTAACTAACAAGTATTTTTCTTATCACCTAAAAGCTTCAACACAAGTTACATACAGAAGAAGAGAACAACAGATGCAGTCCTTGGAAAGTAATCACAAATTCCCACTGGTTGATGATTCCTACCCTCATTCACAGAAGTGCCACCACACCTACACTGTTTCCCAGTCATTTTGTGCTCCTCAGACTATTTTCTTTTTTTTTTTCCTCCCCCATTAAGTTTATTGGTACATTTTAGGTATAAAATACCTTTACATACATCATTGGGATCTTGTACCATTACATGAGTATCTTGGTTCTTATTTTTCTCCCCTTCCCTTGCCCTCCCTTCACCCCTCCCATCCTTCCCTATTTGCAAAGATTTTGTTTCCATTTTTTTCCTTTTCTCATACTTTTTCTTTTTCCTACCTATATGACAACAGCAGGCTCATAAACATTTTAACTGATAAATTATATCAAACATTTAAAGCAGAAAAAGGAACACTTCTCCCTTCATTTTAGGAAAGCAACATTGTGCTAATTCTAAAACTGGATAAAGATAATAGAAGAAAAAAGTATGAACATAGATAGAAATTTGTTTAACAAAACAAACTATTAGAAGTCAGATCTGGCGGGATGTAGAAAGTGGTTTTGTTATAGGGATGGCAGTGTTGGTTCAGCATTGGAAGATCCACCCCCAAAAGTCATCATTTTAACAGAGGAAAGGAAAAAGCCATATGATCCTGTCACTAGTTGGAGAAAAAGTATCGGACTAAATTCCACAGCTGTTCATGGTAAAAGCTATCAGGAGACTAGAAGTAGAACAGAACCTTTTCAACAGATTAAAGCCATGTACTCCATACTTCCAGTGAAAATGCCTTACATGAATGGAGAAGATACAATGCTTTCTCCTTAAGGTGGGGAACAAGGGCAGATATGCTTACTCTTCATCTGTCCATTAAACTTTGAAACCTAGGCCCAAACCAAAATAGTCCTCAGACTATTTTCAACTATCATTTCCAAAAGATTGGGACTTCATACATCCAAAATGGCATGGTGGTAACAAAATGTATAAGCGACAGTCTTAAATTAGAAAGGCTTATTCTTCTCACATAATCACATATAGTACTACGCATATGTAAATGCTGGAGATGAATCAATGCTCAGTCCAGACTTCAGATAGCTCTGTTACTACTGACTAGAGCACCACAGCCCTCCAAGGAGAGGGCTCTGATGAAAGGGTGAGGGATGCAGGTGCAAACAGGAAATAGTTTGGTTGATTGCCTTATCACCATCACTATTTATGAAATACTTCTTAACGTGGCTTCAAGCAGAAACAGAAATGTTTTCAATTTGGAAGTTGAAATTGCCTCAGTCGCAGTTTACTAAGCTGCCTACCATAACTCAGATAGTAATATGTCTACTTTTTTTTTTTAACATGGCCAGCCCTGCTCTTCATGGCACAGACTACAAAATGACAAGTTAAAATAGTAACAATAGGCTTCTTCGATTGTCCCTCGTAGCCTACAACTAAAATGCAAAAACAAAACGAAAAAACATTGACGGAGGCATTTTCAACTTTCAATATTGTGCAATTCATGTTTAAATTTATCATCTACATCTCATCTCATGACCTTGAAAAAGCTCAATATTTCTATTGTAAAATGTAAATCCCAGCCTATCTCCCCAAAGCATTCAATGATGAATTATGTGAGGGAAACATCATACAAAATACACTTGATCTTAGCCAAAAGGCCGAGAAGCGATCATCATACAAAATAGACTGCTCCAGAAACAGGATTTTGTAATTAACCCATAATTTTCCGCAAACTCCTTTGTGCTTTCTACTCCTATCATTAGAAATCTTCTAAAAATCAGTTATTTTCCCAACCTTGATGTTTAGAATATAACTGAAATTTTCTTGGCTGAATGAATTCACCCTTTGTGGATTAATTTAGCACTCTGGAGTCAGTGATTTGTCCATGTTGCTGCAAGAATAGAAAGTATAATAGTACAAGAGAGTGTTGACACCATAAGCATCCTAAAAGTTGCAATTTTCTCTTTAATTCCTGGCACACTTTCTCTTCTGATTGACCTCTTCCTCTAAAAGCCTAAATTAAGGGATGGCCGGGATGATTGAGTGTAGTGTGGGTTAAAAGATGAAGAACATGGCTAGCAAGACTCTCAATTGGTACTTGTTCCATTAAGGACTGAACTGCTAATACTCCTCATGTCAAAGTTCTAAAAAATTATTATTACTGCATATTTGATATGAACCTTTTTGAAGACAGTGGTTCTTTTTGTCTCAACTTTACTATCTTTGCCATAATAATGCAACTGGGTCATGCTAGGGACTGAGTTGTACCGCCTCAAAATTCATTTGTTGAAGTCTTGACTTCTTTTTTTTTTGGTACTGGGGATCGAACTCGGGTCCTTGGGCTTGCGCAGCAGGTGACGAGAAGTCCTGACTTCTAATGTGATGGATGGTATTTGGAGGTGGGGCCTTTGGGAGGTAATTAGGTTTAGATGAGGTCACGATGGTGGGGCCCTCAGGATGAGATGTGTATAATTATAAGAGGAGGATGTCGCGTAAGCACACAGAGGGATGACCACTGTCTGCAAACTAGACGAAAAGACCTCACCAGAGCTAATATGCTGGCACCCTGATGTTGGACTTCAGTCCCCAGAACTGTAAGAAAATAAATTTTTGTTGTTTAAGCCACCAGGTCTATGGTATTTTGTTATGGCAGGCCTAGCTAAGCCAAGAGGACATGCATATTTTGGGAAACATCATTTCCACAAAAGCAGAATAGTTCTAAATGCAGTGGATAGTTATTTTATCTCATTCATACTTATGAAAGTTTCCTTTAACACTGCTTGGCCAGAGTCCAACGCTCCCACCCTTTGAACAGCAAAGAGCAGCATACAATCTGAGGAACAAGTGAGTGAACACAGTCCTTTTCTGTAGATGAAGCCATCAGTTCAACTCTCTGCACGTGATAACCTACTCCAACTGCAGCAGGCAAGATCAAGTGCTCCTGGTTCCTTCATTAAGGAGCTGGGAGCTGGGGATTTAGCTCAATGGTTCCACCGCCTGCCTCACAAGAGCAAGGTTCCGAGTTTGATCCCTGGTGCCAGAAAAAAAGAAAAAAAAGAGCTGGGCCCTGCCAACCAGGGAGCAGACTGTGGGCTGGATATATGTCTACTGCAGCTCTTCTATACCTGCTCTCATCTTGCAACTTACACTCTCCACACCTTCACAGTACCTGGTAAGCTGACGTGAATTAAATGAAGAGATCACTGGCCTGCAACAAAGAGTAACTTAAGAGAAAAAGAAAACTGCTAAATTCCATTCTACAAGTCAGGTTTGTCCAGTTCCTACTTTGTGAAATGTGATGCTTTCTACTTGGCTCTACATGGTTTTGTCAGGTTGGGGGCTCATGTAGGGCTGAGATGCAGAGCTCGGTTTACCAGCTGTCCCTGGTCAAAAGTGAAGGTGTTCTCAGAGAGCAGTTTCCAATAACCTAACAATTTTCCTTTGCTATTAAAAAAAAAGAAGAAGAATAAAAAGTCAATGCCATGCACGAAGTACAGAGATGGAAATGAAAGATCTGCCTAGTGCTGCAATATTTATTTTTTAATAAAACTGATTTGGATCAATTTGAGATAACTGCTGGGAGTACAAGCTTTTACTTTTAGATACATCATTTGTTTTTGTCTCTGATCTGGGCTCGAAAGGAACATTGCCAGTGTTTTTCCAGTGGCGAGTTTAGTTCTAGAAGAGTTAAAATAAGAAATCCTACCTGTTTAATCTGCCAGAAAACACATGAGAAGAGCAATCAGCTCTGAGAAGAGTTGCTCTGAATGAGGTACGCCTGGCGGCTTTGGGCCATGCTGTTTGTCAGTCTTTCAAAATTCAAGTCATTACCAGATGCTGATCTACTATAATATTGTGATATTTTATCTGATTACACTTACCTGATTGTGCCTTATCTGCTATTTGCCTTTCCATTCTTCCATGTATATTAAATGCAGGTGCTTTTATTATTCTGAGAGCTCAAAAGTGTTGACTGTTCTGAATATAAATGGGGATATTATAACATTAACTTGCTCCAAAAGCAGGGCCATTCACTGTGTAAATCACATGACAGGTACCTAGTGGAGACACAATAAAACATAACGTCTTCAGAAAGAAAGCAATGAGGAATGGATAAGGAGATAAAAATTTAAGGCATTGTTAAAGAAGGGTAATCTTCAAAATTCTATTTCAAACTAGCATTTGTTGATAATATAACCTTTATATTAGAAACATTTTTAAATTTATAAAAAATCTTTTGGGGGAGCTAGATAATATGGAATGCTATCACTAGTAGGACTGCATTAAAAACATGATCACTAACACTCTATGTCTTGTCTAACTTAGGAGAACATTTTAAAGGGCGCAGTCTAATCTTTTAGAGGAGTATTCTTTGCTTTGGCAAATATGTTCTTACCCGACCCAGGTGTACTGTTCAAGCAAGGTGAATCAAATGGCCAAATGCTCTCAGTACTTGCAGACTTTTAAAAGTGAATAATTTAGAATCTGGTTGCAAATTTCAAAGGAAGCAATATGCAGTGAATTAAGGCAGAATTATGACAATGTGCAGCTGCCCAACAGTCTGGAGTTACACGCTCTGCTTAGCTTCCACTGCGCTGGCCTCACTAAAAGTTAATCCACAGTTATTTAAGTGGAAAGTTTCAGGAAATCCATCTTCAGAGAAAATGTTACGTGAGAGTTTAAAATGAGCCACTGCTCTCAGTTAGATAGAATATCAGAGGGCCTACTCCTCCATCGGTGCGTCAGACTCCTCCACTGCTGCAGCAGCTGAGATTCAAGCCTCGAGAAGGAACGCCAGTGACAGTCACTGCCTAAGGAGCGAGGTAAGAGTCATCTTCTGTCAGATCTGAAGGTGAGACTGAGGAGAACACGCGTGGGGACAGCTGGGAACACAGAGAGTGATGTAGCCATGGAAGATGAGGGTTCTGCGCAAGGAGACTGGGGCACAGGCGTGGGCACTGCTCCTCTTTCCCGCCTCTCACACAAAAGGGCTTGGAAGTCTGCTTCTGCTTCTGCTTCCCTGTCCCTATACCAATGTCTGTTTAAGCACCACTCTACGTCAAGGTTGCTATTTTATCAGAGGAATCTTTATTCCCTAAACCATACACTTGAAAACAAAACCTAACTATGGAAAATAGTCTGATCTTTTTGGTAAGTCCATAGTTTCTCAGAAAAGATATTTAATAGGATTTTCACAATAATATGATTAAATTTTGTGTATTTGTTCATATGTAAAAGTAATTTAACTGGATATTACTTCACATTGTTTAGAAGACCTATTCTATTCTTAAAAGTCTGTAAAAATGAAAATAAAATGAAAAATAAATATGCTAAACATGAACTTAAATCTATTTGGCCTTTAGAGAAAAGCAAAGGAGACTATGTTCTTAGGTCACAGAAAGCAATAGCCATAAAGGAAAAAAAAAGAGATAAATTAGACTTTATCAAAATTTAAAACTTCCAATCATCAAAAGACACCATTAAGAAAATGTACAGGAATGGTCCGCAGATTTAGTTCAATGGTTCCACACCGCCTGCCTTGCAAGCACAAGGTCCCAAATTCGATCCCCGGTACAAAAAAAAAAAAAGAAAGAAAAGAAAAGAAAATGTAGAGGGGTCAGGCATGGTGGTTCCTGCCTGTATATCCAAGCACTCTGGAAGGCTGAGGCAGGAGGATCCCAAATTTGAGCCTGGAGTGGACTAAGCAAAAACAAACAAAAAAGAAGTGGGAACCACCACCACTGAGAGAGGAAAAGAGAGAGAGAGAGAGAGAGAGAGAGAGAGAGAGAGAGAGA